AGATGGATTACCCCTGTTATCCAGGGGCCAGACTACCAGGCTGCCAGGGAAGGAGCATTTCCTTGGTGGGTCTACTCTGACTTGGAAAGAAATGTCTGTTCTCAGGAGAGCCTCTAGATCAGCCGTGGGCAAACTACGGGCTGGATTCGGCCCGTTTGAAATGAATAAAACTATTGAAAAAAAAAGACCGTACCCTTTTATGTAATGATGTTTACTTTGAATTTATATTAGTTCACACAAATACTCCATCCATGCTTTTGTTCCGGCCCTCCGGTCCAGCTTAAGAACCCATTGTGGCCCTCGAGTCAAAAAGTTTGCCCACCCCTGGTCTAGATAAAGAAACTTCCACCCTGCAGCCAACAGCCTTCTAATCACATCATTCTGCTGGGCTTTTTAAATTCTCATGTTAAGGATCCCTTATGTTAAGAAAACAAAGATTAATAAGAGGAAGAGGACGATGAAGAAGAGGAGAGAAAAAGAAGAAAAGGAAGATGTACCAATTTAAGTTAAAAATATAGAGCCACAGGTAGATGCTTGAAGAAGGGACACTAGAAATTAAGATTCCCATTTTGCAGACGAGGAACAAGAGAAACAGAGGCAACTAACTCTGTTTTAGGTAATAAAGTATAAAAGGAAATCATTTGTTTAGTGACTTTAACACTTTCAAACGTTATCATTTATTAATTCAATGAAAACTCTTTCTGTCTCTTTCTCTAGATTCTCTTCTTCTTCATACCCCTAAATGGATGTATCCCTTAAGGCTCTGCCTCCAACCCCCTTCTCACTCATTCTACCTTCTCTTTCTGGATGAACAATCTTATATTTACTTTAGAAATATTTTTATATTCCTTATATTATATTTCCTTTAAGAAATTATGTTTCCTTTAGATTAAAGCTTCAACATAACCACTAGGTAACCAAATCCCAAACCTCTACTTTCACTTCTGGAAACCATTACTCTAGTCACATATTTCCCACTGAGATGATCAGGGAACAAATCCTAGAGAGAGAGAAATTCCACCCCTAGATCTGGCAGTGTACTCTTCATATACAATTACATGACCATTGGTCATTATTTTCATAATGTGTTTTATCTGCCCAGAAGGCAATAACTAATTTCATTAGGCTATACACTCCTTTTACAGAACCCTTTAAATTTCACAAACACTATGTTTCATATATGTAACCATCTCACTTAATTGTACAGGTACTAGGTTCCCATTTTTGCAGACAGAAAAACAGATTCAGCAAATTTAAATAACTTGTTCATTTGAAAACAAGATAATATTTTATGTTTCCTATCACCAACAAGGATCTAATAATTGTCTATTACCTCTAGATCTGGATATGTCTAGAAAAAATTTCTGTGAGGTTTCCCCTCTTCTATTTTCACATCCTATCTAATAATAGACAAACATGGTAATTAACCATACCTCCGCTACGCTTCCCATTGGCTAATCAGCAGGATATGCAAATTAACTTCCAACAAAGATGGCAGCCGGCAGCCACGCAGCTGAAGCGAACATGAGGCTTGCTTGCTCCAGTGATGGAGGAAGCCAAGATTCCCCACCTGCTGCGGCCCAGCTCTGAGCTCCAGGTGCAACAATGTTGCAATTATAGAAGCTAAACAAACCCAGAAACCTGCTTTCAGCCGCCAGCGGGCTCAGAGCTTAGAGCGCCAGTGATGGCAACAGAGTTTCAATTATAGAAGCTAAACAAACCCAGATACCTGCTTTCAGCCAGCCACAGCCTCATGCTGGAGCGGGCTCTCAGCTCCAGTGACAGCCATAGAAGGTAAATAAATCCCAGAATAAAAAAAAAGAAAAAAAAAGAGACTGGGAGCTTCAGTCGCCCGCCAGCCTGAAAACAGCCCTCAGCCCCTCATCCAGACTAGCCAGGCACCCCAGTGGGGACCCCAACCCTGAAGGGGGTGTGACCAGCTGGAAACAGCCATCATCCCCTCATCCAGGTTGGCCAGGCACCCAAGCGGGACCCCCACCCTGATCCGGATCACCCTTCAGGGCAAACCAGCTGGCCCCCACCCGTGCACCAGGCCTCTATCCTATATAGTAAAAGGGTAATATGCAAACTGACCCTAACAGCAGAAAGACTGGGAATGACTGGTCACTATGACACACACTGACCACCAGGGGGCAGACGCTCAATGCAGGGGCTGCCCGCTGGTGGTCAGGGCACTATTACATGGGGAGCTCTGCTTAGCCACAAGCCAGGCTGACGGCTGCCAGTACAGCGGTGGTGGTGGGAGCCTCTCCTGCCTCCTCAGCAGCACTAAGGATGTCCAACTGCAGCTTAGGTCTGCTCCCTGCTGGCAAGTGGGCATCCCCTGAGGGCTGCCGGGCTGCCAGAGGGATGTCTGATTGCCAGCTTAGGCCCAATCCCCCGGGGAGCAGGCCTAAGCCAGCAAGTGGTCACCCCCGAGGGGTCCAAGACTGCAAAAGAGCACAAGCCAGGCTGAGGGACCCCCTACCCTCGAGTGCACAAATTTTTGTGGACCGGGCCTCTAGTCTAACTATGAGTCCAATGATCTCCAGGAAACTGCCAATGTTCCACTGCAGAGAATATGGTATCCTTTTAAGTAATGGTTCTCAAAGATGTTCCACAGACCCCAGGGTCCCTGAAGCACTTTTAGATAATCAGAAAAATCAAAACTATTTTCATAATAATACTAAGATGTTACCTGAATTTGTTACTATGCTGTATTTGCACTGATGGTACAAAAACAATGGTGGGCAAAGTGCTGGTGCCTTGGTATCAATCAAGGCAGTGGCACCAAATTAAATAAATAGACAATTTCACTTCAGAATGGCCATGATGAAACTGTAAATGTTATTAACTTTAATAAATCTGAACCCTTAAGCAAGTGTCAATATTCTGTGTAAAGAAATGAGAAATATACGAAAAGTACTTCTGGTGCATACCAAAGTACAATGACTGCCTTAAGGAAAAGCACTGGTGTGATTGAATTGTGAACTGTTCACACTGTTTTATGGCACAAAATTTTTATTAGAAGACAACTGAAAAACTGGTTCTTCACACATTTCCCCCCCAAAAAATGAATGAAATAAATCTATCACTTCATGGAAAACAACTGACAGTCTGTATTGTCAATAACTAAAGTCAAATTTTCATGTGAAAATCATAATTCTGGGAGTCTTGTACTTGCCCGCATATCTTTACATTCCCAATACTTAAAGATTTTCTAAAGATATCAATGGGGATAAAAACAAATGTGGTTTTGTTATATTGTATAATATGTGTCAACATCTGGAGAAAGTGCAGAATTTAGAGAACCATTATTTTCCAAGTGTCAATGAAAAATGGTATAAAATAATGTGTGTGTAAGATCCTTTCAAAGTGTAAGAGACACCAATGGATTTTAATATAACAAAGTGTAGAGAATTTAATGATATGGATTCATATTCTACATTGCAATTAATCTATAATAAATTTCAGTCCTGTTCCTTGTCATATGTAAGGCTTTAGACAACCTAATTTTTCTCTATTCCAGTTTCCTTACCTGGAAAATAGAATAATGGTACCTATCTCACCAGAATTACTGTGAGAATTAAATAAGATAAATACATGTAAAGAATTAGAAGAATACCTGGCACATTGTAAATACTCAGTAAATGTTATTTTCACTTTTCTTATCATCTTTATGTTCCTTAAAGTTCTCATATATACAGTCATCTAACATACTGAAAGTCATGATTTTTTTTCTTTCATTTTATGACCCTGTAACATATTTCCTTCTAGGAATCTAGGTTCATCCACATCCCTTTACTTCCAAAATTTTGTTCTTCCATTTCAACTTGATAGTTTGATTTTTAAACTCATAAATAATTAAGAATTTGGGCTAGGAATCTCAGCAAAAAAAAAAAAAACAAAAAAAAAACACTTAAATTCCATCCAGTAAAATGTGCTAATATTTACTAGATATCTAAGAGCAGGTTATAAGTAAGAAAACATTTTTAAAATATAGAAATAAAGTTTCCAGAAATAAATTATACCTATTAACCAGATTCACTATCTACATTCCATACTAATAGAATTATTTAATCAAAAAAAGTAAACCACCAGATTCCTTTTCTAAAATCAAAACATTAGTTCTCTGACTTTTTAATCAAAAGAAAAAAGCTATGCCCTAGCTGGTTTGGTTCAGTGGATAAAGCATCAGCCTGCTGAAGGGTCCCAGGTTCAGTTCCGGTCAGGGGCACATGCCTAGGTTGCAGGCTCGATCCCCAGTAGGGAACGTGCAGCTGATCAATGATTCTTTCTCATCATTGATGTTTCTATTTCTCTCTCTCCCTCTCCCTTCCTCTCTAAAATCAATAAAAAATATATTAAAAGAAAAAAGCTATTTAAAACTTAAATTTCATTCATCCAGATTCTTCTAAGACTAAAGACTAAGCTGAATGTGGTGAAAAATGAAAATGGGAGAAATTAGATGTATAATACCCTGGTGAAGAAAGGATAACATTTATGTGACTAGACAATTAGCAGGTCATTCTAAAGGTGAGAGGTCAGGCCAAAGCATGTCTGTCTGCTCAATTGTTTTGCTAGCACAATAGTTCATTCATTAATTCAAAACCACTAAAAGAGTTTTCATCCACATTAAGAAGGTAGGAAGGATTTTTTAAAGGGGGAGGCAGAAAAGTATGGGTGAAATAGAATGAAAAAAGGGTGGTCCAGACCAATTTTGATAGTTCTAGATCAACTAAAGAAACTAAAAGAATTATTATTTGTATTCAAGGACTCTCCTAGAATTCCCAAAATTGAGTCTAAGAAAAGGGGTCATTGTTGAGCCCCAAGAGTAGTATACATATTCCCTCCCTACTCTTTTGACAGTTTACAGATACTTCAATACTTTTATCTACATGCCATGCTGGATAAGTTGGCTCACCGATTAGAACAGGCTTATATGAACTCCCTCAGAGCCTGCAGTCACTGTCCATCCTGGGTGAAGTGGATACACTTACCCATACTCATCTTGATTGGCAGGTTTTCTCTGCTTGCTGCTTCCACTAGATGTCTCCGGACTTCCATCACTGCCTCTTTGTGCTTGGTGTTCAATAAGGCTTCCCACAGGGCTTTGGCTGCAGTATCACTGCAATAAAACCACAAAGAGCTTTAAAATAATTTCTACCAAATAATGGAAAAGGTTGAAAGCAAAATAATTTCTAAAATATCTTCTTTGAGCACTAAAGTAGTCTTTCCTACTGATAGATTCTAGGCATAGGATTAAATGAAGACTATCTAATCCATTTTAAACAGCACAAAATATTGAGAAATTACGGAGACAAAACCAAGCCAAAAAAAAAAAAAAAAAAAAGAGGATGCCCTGACCGGTTTGGCTCAGTGGATAGAGCGTCGGCCTGGGGACTAAAAGGTCCCAGGTTCGATTCTGGTCAAGGGCATGTACCTTGGTTGCGGGCACATCTCCAGTAGGGGTGTGCAAGAGGCAGCTGGTCGATGTTTCTCTCTCATCGATGTTTCTAACTCTCTATCCCTCTCCCTTCCTCTCTGTAAAAATCAATAAAATATTTTTTTTTTTTTAAAAAAAAAAAAAGAGGAATAAAAGCTATATTGTGCTTTGAGAAGTGGGGGAAAACTATATATTTTTTAGATATGACACTTTTTTTAGATTTTGCATTTTAAAGTATTTCAGAGTAAAGTTTAACATTGCTACAGTAATATATAAATGCTATATAAGCCAAAATTAATACATGTTCAAAAAATGATTTATCAGTGATTATAAGCATAACAATTTGAGATAACATACATGTATGGAAAGCACAGAGCAATTAGCAATGAGAATTCCTGTTAAAAAACCACTTGATAGAATTCCTAATGAGTAGGTTTTCTAGTGAATGAAAATCAAGAATTAGGCTAAGTAACCAAGGCCTTATTTACTTTGGGCCTTAGGTTGGAAAGATGGCACATCCTTCACCATAAACCATGATAACAGAAAGCCCTGCATTGTGCAGGGTCTCATCTGGGCTCACTTGTCCAACAGCCCTCTGTCTCACCCACCCCGCCATGTTTAAATTATAAATGAGCACAGTGTTCTTCCCGGAAGACCTCTACATCAGCCAAGTATACACATTTGTAGTAACGTTTCAAAACCTGAATATAAAGAAACAAAGATGACTTCTGTCCCTTTCCAAGGACTTTTTCCTTCACTTAAAGCTCTACTAACATCTCTTACTATCCAGTTAGCTAATAGTGTGAAAATGAATGGATTTTTAAAGTTTGGTTTTAAAAGTTATATCTAATAAGATATTAATTTTAACTTTAAAGTTATACCTAATAATACATATCTTTTAAGTTCAAATTTGATTGGGAATAATGGAATGGTGTACTTCAGCGCTGAGTTTAATGTCTGGCACATACTAATCTTTCATTAAAGAGTTAGTTGTTTATTATCTATTTTTTTCTGACTGAACTAACATCACTGCTCAACAAATGCCACTTGTCTAGATCTAATCAAAACTGTCATTATAACTCTGCATCCAATATTCTATGTTTAATTTAAATAAGTAGGTAAACTCCAAGCCAAGCCCCATTCTCGTGGTTGAGATATAGATAAATACAAGGCATAAGCTTTCAATGACTTAAAGGAAGAAGAGGCAGAGATACAAGCAAAGAAATTATCCCCAAAAGAAGTGTGATAAGAGGCATGATCAATGCTGTACAGATTTAGCTGGTAGCACAGAGGAGGGCTCTAATCCCGGCTGGGAGGGCAGAGGCTCAGAGATTGGTTTCTACTGGAAATATGAGCAAGTACACAGATACATACATTCCAAAAACAGCCAAGGGAAGAAGTTATAACTGAATCTGGGAAGGAGAATGGTAAAGAAAGTCCACAAAGAATATATAAAACCTTTATCACAAAACAAGAGGAAGAAGGGTGTTTCAGAATGTGCAGATTCCTAGGTAATGAGGACTGTTTTGTTCCATGCTAAGGTGCCAGGGAAGGGGCATGACAAGTAAGGGCAAAAGAGAAGGTGGGAGCTACTCTCATAGGGTCCTGCATTACTTTCCAAGGCTTGTCAACTTCAGTCTGTAGGTAACAGGTCGCCAATGAGCATGTGCTTGATTTCACATTCTGAGACGAGTACCATAGCGTAGCATTTGTGAACACAGTCTTTATCATCATTCAAAACTAGGTCTATTTCCTGTGGGGTTTTGGGAAAGTTACTTAACTTCTCCAAAGCTCTGAAAGCAATGGAGAACCACTGCAAAATTCTGAGCAGGGGAGTTAAAGTCCCAGTTTCCCCAATTTATAGTACACAATCTTTCCCTACTTTCATTCTCCAAAGCTCCTCTCTGCAAAACAGGGATTTCTCACATACTATTAACTCTGTACACAGAACTTCTAGAGTGGATATTTACTGCCCTCCTCTATTCCATGAGTATAAGACAAAGTGTCTTCAAGATCACAGTAGGTTAGGAAATACTGTGGTTGCCCCATCAGACCAGTGTGGTGATTGAAATGTGGGCTCTGGGGTTAGATAAATCCATGTTCAAACTGACCATGCACTCCTCACCCACAGTAGCTACATGGCCTCTTTGGTCTTCCTCAGGCACTCCGAGCTTAGGCACTCCTTTGCCAGTAATGCTCTTCCTACAAATATCCCCTCTCTCTCTTCAGGTGCCTGCTGAAATGTCACCTTATCAGAGAAGTCCTCCTTAGTGCCCTATATAAAAGAGTGATGACAGCCCATCCCAGCACCATAACCTAGCACTGCGCCCCCTCCCCCCTCCCTTACTGGACTTTACTCTTCTACATAATACTATTACCACATGACCTTATTATATGTTTCCATTTTTTGCCTATCTCCCTCATAGAAGGTAAGGTCCTTTTATGAAAACAGGATCTTATTTTACTCATTGCTAATTTCCCAGTACTTAGAACAGTGCCAGGCCTGTGGTAGGTAAACTTAATAAAAATGAATGAATGAACGAATGATGCTTGCTAGTTATGTAACCTTGTGCACATAACTAATCCTTTCTTTTCCTCTGTTTTCTCGTCTGTGAGATGGAGGTAATAATAGTGATCACCTCACATGCTGTAAGAGTTAAATAAGATAATGTACATAAAGCACTTTCCTGATTCACAATAAATATGAGTAATTATGTAGTTGTTACTACTACTACTATTGCTACAAAAGATATTATCCTATAATTCAATGTGTTCAAGGTTTTGTATATAATTAGGTGAATTCACTTCATTATACTGAACTAGAGGCCTGGTGCACAAAATTCGTGCATGGGGGGGGAGGGTGTTGGGGGGTCCCTCAGCCAGGCCTGTACCCTCTCCAATCCAGGACCCCTCAGGGGATGTCCGATTGCCTCTCACAATCTGGGACCACTGGCTCCTAACCACTAGCCTGCCTGCCAGATCGCCCCTAACCACCTCTGCCTGCTTGCCTGATTGCCCCTAACTGCTCCCCTACCAGCCTGATTGACCCTAACTGCTCCCCTACCACCTCTGCCTCACCCAGCACCCAGGACCCAGGATTCCCTCCTCTGGCTGGTTGCAGGCACCAGGGACCCAGGCTTCCCACCCTCTGGCCAGCCACAGGCACCCAGGACTCGAACTGGCTTCACCCAGGCTGGCCGCAGCCGCAGCCGCAGGGGACCGTGGATGGGCAGTTTCGCCTAGGCTGCAGCCGCAGGTACCCGGGACTGCGGGGCGGGCGGCTTGTCCCTCTCCCTGGCTGCAGCCGCAGCCGCTGGCGCCTGGGACTGTGGGGCGGGTGGCTTGTCCCTCTCCCGGGCCGCAGGCTGGCTGGTCCCCATTCCTCTCTCGTGAGGTCATTTGTGCCTAGCTGGTCCCCATTCCTCTCTCACGAGCTGTGTCTGAGCAATTCTGGTGCAAGGGTGTGAGGGTGTGAAGACCATTTGCATATTAGCTCTTTATTAAATAGGATAATTTTTACACGACACTGATTTGTTCACATATATTTAAGTCACTTGGGGCTTGTACTCTCTGGCTCTTTTCTCATAAAACATTTTAGAAGAAATACATAGTTTCCATGATTTCTAACACTGATGCCAAGTCATGTTTCCTGGAAAATTATCTTTTTTAACATAAGCAATTCTGATTTGCTAGATATGTGTGACAGTTTCTAATATCCAATTCCTGTACAAAACACCTTACTAACCGCCACATCACACATGCTCACTTTAAAATTACCCTGTTAATATTCATACACTAATTCTGGTTCTCCAAATAATCAGCACTGAAGAAGTCAAGATGATACTTACTGACAACTCTACTGTGTCCTGCACCCATGTCTTCACCAATCACTCTGTTACTGCTGCTTGGTGGTTTACACACATACTCCTATATGGGCATCTGAGTTGAGTATGGGAGTTAATCACTGGCTTTCCCTAATATACTCAGAAAAGTCAATCCAATAGACATTTCACACTACTGAAGTTTCACATGAAATCAATTCCTGATGTTGAATTATATAAGTCAAGAAAAGTTAATTGAAATCCATTCTATAATCACAATGGTATATTTTATATCATTCTTTCTCTTCTCCAACTGTTCAAACTCTCTATTTTCCTGATGAGGAAATAAGCACTGCACAGGGGCTATCACAATAGGGCCAGTGCAGTCAACTAGTGGTAGTCATTGCTGTAGTCTAGTAGCAGCATGGGTTCTGGAACCAAACAACAGAGGGTTCCCCTTATTCTGCCACCTGCTAGCTCTATGTCCCTAAGAGAGTTACCTAACCTCTCTGTACATGTTTCCTGTTAACTGGGGATGGTAATAGTTTCAGTGGGTTATTATGATAATTGAATGCACTAATATACCAAAAGCACCTAGAACAATGCCTGGTCCATATTAAGTGATCAATAAACATAGCAGCAGCAGTAGTAGTAATAAAAAAATATCAAAGGTCAGCCCTAGCTGGTTTGGCTCAGTGGATAGAGCATTGGCCTGCAGACTGAAGGGTCCCAGGTTTGATTCCAGTCAAGGGCACATGCCCAGGTTGCAGGCTTGCTCCTCAGGAGGGGGCATGCAGGAGGCAGCCCATCAATGAATGATTCTCTCTCATCATTGATGTTTCTCTCTCTCTCACTCCCTCT